CACACACACACACACACACACGCACACACATATATATATATATATATTATGCTAGAAAGACTCAGAGCAAAGATAAGGTGTATACACACATTTTTTATACAGACTTAACGCTTTTTTTTTTGCGATTGCGATATAGCTTAAGAACGTCACATGCCTCAATGTGTATATGATATACACTTAATGCATTCATGCGATTATTATACGGTTTAAGCACATTCCGTTTTCAATTGTGTATCCGAGATAGATTTAACACAATTTTGCAATTATGATACGACTAAAACGCATATCTTACATCTGAGACTTATTAAATGCAATTCTGCATAGCTGGCGCACCCCCTTTATATCTAGACAATCTCAGGGTGTAGGTGGTGAATCCCAGAGACATCCATCTCAATCCAATCCGAGCTCGGTGGCTGGGGTTGGGATCCTACCCTTGGTCGGGTAATAGTCCTTTGTGACGCAGAGCACAATTAAAAGTATAGTTACATCATTTCAATTTCGCAGACCAAGAGCCTCGTTTTAGAGAACACACGTAATTCTCCAAACACCAAATACAAACCTATATGTTGCTATGGAAAGTGCTAAAACAATGGGTGAATCAACAATAAAAAATGGTAAGCAACATCATTCGATGCATCGAATATTAAATAGCAAGAAAAGCCCAGAGGTACTTTTGCCATCTGATTACAGTCAAATGCGTTGTTTCTTTTGTAAAGTAAAATGTAGTAAAGGCTCTGAAGCCCAAAACGAATATCCTGTCATTGTCATTGAATGCCGACAATCTGACCTAAACTTTGAAGTGAATAAAAATTCATGGAACAAAAAGCAATCCCGTAATTACAACAACTCGTAATAGTGATAATGTTATAATAATGACTACACAATGCTCTAAAATTAGTTATACTTGAAACATCAAGGTAAAACATTTCATTATAAATTAAAAACTATTACATCCAAGGTAGAAAAGCATGGAAAATATTGCAGGAAATGCACAATAAAAGAAAGAAAAAAAATTAAGCCAGCACATTTGAAGTCGAGGTACCGAGATCACATCTCTGAGTCACCCTATAAGTGAACTTAAACAAATCTAATGCCTTGGTAGAAATTATAGTACCACAACTCTCTCACAAACTTCGAGCACAAACCACGTTGTATGCTAAAGAGACTAATGGAGCTTTCAAGGCCTAACACTTCATCTTGAGAAGCTTTCAAGGCCTCGGTCTCCTATACAAATTTTTTTCAGTGCTCCTCCACCTGACGAGCTTTCTGATCAATAGAATCAAAAGCATCCTTGTACCACTTCTCTGCATCTTGACGACAACCTTTCAATTCAGTCACACGAGCTTCTGGAAACAAATGAAAGGTCTATATTTGCACCGCCTCTTGTAAAGAGCAAGCAACTCTAACCTCCTCCCCAATGCAAGGAGCTCTTCTTGAGGATTGGTGCACCTAAGTTCCATAACTTCGACTTTCCCTTTCCAAGTATCCCTCTCCATGAAGGAACTACCTAAGCCCAATACATCATCTCGTCCAACAAAGACAGGAGAAAATATAGAAGAAAATTTGAACATGTTGTGATCAAGTTCATAAGCCATTTCCATCTTATTCCCCTCCATAAGATTCTGGACGGAGGATAAGTCCGACGTCGAGAAAATAACATCATCTTCCTCAAGAGTGCATGGAAGTCGACAGGAGAAAGCGTCTGATATATTTATAAAGGGGGTTACCTCCCTAAAAACGTTGTCCCTAGCGACACGACTCTATCTTGGAGAATCCTTAGTTCGAGGAGATTTTTGTTCTTCTTCCCGGGCTCTCTTTGTTGAAACCAGAGGCAAAATTTGGTTGCTCGTCGTTAAAGTGGCCGTAACGGCTGCAAGACGATCCAACTCGAGCATAGGAGCCGAAGTTATTACTACCAGGGTAGGAGAGGAAATCAGAGCAGGAGTGATGGTAGAATAAGATGTCCTACCAATCACTACAGCACGAATTCCTTGAGCATCAGCAAGGTTGTAGAGCATGTTCAACTTGTTTAATTTATCCATATTATCTACAAATTATAGTTAAACATTTAAAAAAACCATGAATAGTCTACTCTCATCAAAGATCTCCCTCCTTTCTTCAAGGGTAACTGCACTCAAAATAGCGTGGATATAAATTCGCCTCTTCCTTACTTCAGTAAGGGGAGCCTCGTCAGCACCGAACCCATTCTCATAACCAAGTTCCTGAAACCAAAAGTGCATTTCATCCTTCATTGTCACCTCATCCAGAGAAAGAGTGTCTGACTGGGTGCAACAGGACCATTCCCCTGATTAAAGTGGATATTAGACTAGTACATCAGAAACGAAATCTGACAGTATTGAGGAGAGTCAGTGGGGTTGTAATCGAAATTGGAATGAGTTTTAGAGGTAAGGATTTTCACAGAGAGGAAACATCTCAAGAAATTGTCCCGTTTAGACCGAAATAACCAAACCATGGGATGACTGGGTGAAGCTGAAGAAGCCCCTCATTGTGGAAGTTATTTGAAGAAGCCTGAAGCGAAAAAGATCGAAAAAATAAGCTGAGAGAAGGCTCATGAGATTTGTACTCAGCGCATAGCTGAAAAACCTTTATACACGCCTAAGACCACAAATGAATCTGGGAAGGAGAAAATTTTAAATGCTTTAGGATAGATGCCTCAAATTTAGATAAAGGTATCATGAGCCCTACTCTTATAAATAAGCATTCATAAAGCGAGACCACATAGTCATTGAAAGTGTTGTATATTCTCTTCTATTCTAGCACCAGATGAACTGACCACACCAAAAGGTTGTTGACCTTAACGTCACCATTTTTTAGGGCGACCACAATGTCTAGAGCCGAAGAAGTACCCATTATATTTGCATCTACCCAAGTTATAACACCCCAACATCGCTAGGCTTGCGGCCTAGGGTATTCAAGCAGGCCTGTATGAAATCTTTAGCAAAGTCCCTCTTTTGCAAATTAACTCGCATTTCCTCGTCCAACATCACAATAGGGGGTATAATGACCTCGACATATTTGGTTTTCTCGCCAATGTTTGAGATAAAAACATCTAACAATCCAGAAGAAGAAACACCCCCTCAAAGGATATATCAGACATCCTTTCTAACCCAAAGTCGTCAAATACGATTATAATCCCTGGTCCAACATAATCACTATTGTAGGAATGGTGAAAATAAGTTAGGGTTGGCTCATAAGTGGTTCCCACTTTAAAATCCCTCCCATAGCCATTATTATTATCGCTCATTAAGATAAAATAGGGGATTTTGAAAAGGATGAATAAGAAGGGTACCTTTTAAAAGAAGGCTGATGAAGTATTAGGAAAGAAAAAAAAAAGAAGTTTAAAGAAAAACTTTAAATCACCTCTAATGATATTCTCAAGAGGAAGGAAGAAAAATGTTTTTCTTGAAAAATAACTAAAAGCTTGAGAGTTGAAAAGTTGCAAAAACTTCTGAATATCCAACTCACTTTATTTATAAGCAATGAAAGATGAAGGATTAAGACCAACTATTAACAAAGATCACAAGATCAACGCTTAGAATTACACTCATTGGAACACGCCAAACTCAAGTGCACTTAAGCACTCTATGAGTTGCACCACACCCTAACCGCTGATGTAATTACATGTGTTAGAAATGGGTGACGAAGTGTCTCAATGAAAAAACTACATTAAATGTGCTTATTCCCCATCACCTTTCAAAATTGATCCTAAGCGATTCAATTCTACTTTACATTGTATTATGATATAAATGTCGGTCAATGATACTTGATCTCATCTGATTAGAAAGGTTCGATGGCCTGCCCTGCGTCGTAGGATTGAAAAAAGGGGGAGTGTACTTGCAAGACACTCCGAAGCTTAAGTGAGTAAAGGATCGGAGAGGTAGAGCAAGTACATAATTTAGGTGCATAGAAGAAGTTACCTCACCCTCTAGTAAAAGAGGGTTTTTATAGTGTGCCCCCAGCGCAAGGCCAACAGTCACATTGTGTTGGGTCAGACTGCCAGGCTCAATCCAAGTGACTGCCAGGGCTTACGTGACACAGTGAAGACCAGCACGTGGTCTTCACCCTGGAGCAACTGCCCCGTGATCTTCGGAAGGTGGGTTGACCGACTCTTTCGAAGGTGGATAGTTGCCTGATGACGTGTCCCCGCGTGAAGGGGGCACATGGAGAACGTGAGGGGAGCGTGTAAGGCTCCCCGCCTAAAGCAGCTCTGCTCGACATTCCTGGGGCTTGTTGAGGCTTCTGGCCGACGGATGGAAATTGAGCCTTATTAGTATAGTATTGGGTTGGGCTTGCCCGACGGAGGGGCAGATTCCGACCCAGTCTGAAATAATACTTAAGACTTACTCCGACTCCTTCAGCGTCTGACAAATCTCGAGGATAACTAGACCGACCAAAATATCCAAACAGCCACGACCCAATTCGACTCAAACCCACTATACTATATCCAAAATATAAAAATAATTCATATGTTAAGAGAAGGTACTAAATATCTGATCTCCAATTTCACTTTATTAATCTTGAATCTTGAAGCGACTTGAACATTAGTGTTAATCATACATATCCACCCCACATCACTATAAAGAAGATAAGAGCTACAGTCGAAATCAGCCATTATTAACCTCTCATCATTTTTAATTCTTTTGTAAAACTGAACCATTCCATTCTAATAAATATAAATATAAATATATATTTATAAATGTATTTAAATTAGTTTTTATTTTAAAAACCAAGTTGATACTGAAGTATTAATAAATAATGTATTTAAAAAATGAATCTAATTAAAAAGATGTAAATAAATAAATTTAAACAAAACTTTCCAAAAAAGATTTTATAATTAAGGAGGGTATTTTAAACCGAGCCGAACCATTTCTATCTAGATATACACGTGGCTGATTCTCCAGAATGAAGAAAAATAAGGCTCTGTTTGGATGCCACAGAAATAATCAATTTGCAGTGAAACTCAAAAGGAGGTAACTGAAATGGGAGATCTTTACGCTTTGGACTTCGATGGAGTCATCTGTGATAGCTGCGGAGAAAGCTCTCTCTCGGCTCTCAAGGTTAGGTTCCATTCCATTACACATAAACCCCAATTTTAACCATTCAAAGTCATAGCAATTTTTGGGTTTTTATTTTGAATTTTCTAGATTTTCAGTCTTTTTTTGTTTATCTTAATTCTTCTTGCAATTTATATAATGTAAAGAATTCAGCTCATGATTTATTTTGTTTGTCGAATTTGCAGGCTGCTAAAGTGAGATGGCCTGGTTTGTTTGATGGCGTGGATTCAACCACTGAAGATTGGATTGTTGACCAAATGCATATTGTAAATAATCTCTGGATGAATTTTATGAAATGTTTGTGTAATTGTTCTATTCTGTAGCACCGACACCTCTGAAAAAGGTGTCTCAGTGGCTGAAACCGTCAGAAATCAATATCGAGGAAACTTGTGATTATGTTTAATTTATTCAATTTTCAAATTATTATCAGTGTCGACATGTCAGGGTCGGTGTCGTGGTGTCGTGTTTATGGTGTCTGTGTTTCATAGTCGTTCTAAACGTGTCCATTTTCAAAAGTTATTGGCAAATGGCTGGACTTGATTTTGATATTTTATAGATAAATTTATACAGTTATTCATGTCAGGTGCGACCAGTAGTGGAAACTGGATATGAAAATCTTTTACTTGTGAGATTGTTGCTAGAGACCAGAAAACCTTCCATCAGGAAATCTTCGGTGGGTAAAAAGCCTATGGTTCTGATTTTTCTCATTAACTACCACATAACTGATACTAGGTTTATAATTTATTGTGATGATGCTTATTTCCTTGAATCTGCTTCTGAAATCTGTTGAGTGATGTCATTGTTCTTGTGCAAGGTTGCAGAAGGGCTTGCAGTTGAGGGTATATTGGAGAATTGGTCCAAGTTGAAGCCTATTATTATGGAAGAATGGGGTGAGGATAGGGAAGCTTTGATAGATCTTTTTGGAAAGGTCAGAGATGAATGGTTGGAGCAGGATTTTGCTACTTGGATTGGTGCAAACAGGTATTACAATGTTTTTTGAGAGGGGAATTTTTTTTATAGTTGTTATATAACCAATGTCTTAGAAGTCAAAACAGACATCAAACTGGAGAGACCTATAAGTGATGGTTCATCTGTTTAAAACTGGACACAACCGTGATTGAACCTTTCAAATAACCGAACTTTAGACAATGCCGTTTCTTGGTTCAACTAGTTGAATCGTCCAGTTCAGTTTTTAAATCACTGGCATAACTTACTAGATGCATGATGAGAAACCTAAAGCATTATGTAGACATATCTTTTTATAGACGAAGCTGTTAGACCTCTAGTAAAGAATACTTATAAGAGGAAGGGGCACCAATAAAACAAGATAAATGCTGTCCAGTAAAAAATACATAAAAGCAGTCATTTTAATGGTATTTGCAGCTGTTACAGATTCTAAAGGGACAGCAATTATTATTATTAATAGAGTAACAATTATTATTAGGACATTTACAAAACTTAGGCAGGATAAAAAGGGAACTGTGTTCTGCCCATCCTGAAATGGTGAGTGTTACACACTTGGGAGGGAGACAATCAAGCTCTTAAATCTTGGTGAGTGTGTTATAATATTTTGTCCTATTTTTCTATACCTATTGTAAGCATAATATTCTGGTCTTTAAACTCTATCAGAATTATTTTCAGTAAAATATTCCTATTCTCCCAAATTATTTTCTGTACAGAGCCAGTTTCTATCGACTGGAATCAGACCAGAATATTATATTTACAATAGTTATAGAAAAATAGGACAAAATATTAGAACACACTCACCAAGATTCGAGAGCTTGGTTCTCTTCCTCCCAAATGTCTAACACTCACAACTTCAGGATGAGTTCTGTTTCCCTTCTTATTTAGAACTCCAAGTATCATCTGTCATAGTAAGGGCTGTAGGAACAATGCTAATGGCTCAGCTGAAGTACTTATTCAATGGCAGGACCTACCCAAATTTGAAGCTACATGGGAACATGTGGAAGTCATCAAAGAGCAACTTCCTTTCACCTTGAGGACAAGGTGTCTCTTTTAGGGGAGAGTATTGTTAGACCTCTTATATAAAGCAAGATAAATGCTGTCCAATAAAGAATACATAAAAGCAGTCATTTTAATGGTATCTGTAGCAGTTACAGATTCTAAAGGGGCAGCAATTATTATTATTACTAGAGTAACAATTATTATTAGTACAATTACAAAACTTAGACAAGATAAGAAGGGAAACAGAACTGTGTTCTGTTCATCTTGAAGTTGTGAGTGTTAGACACTTCGAAGGGAGAGAACCAAACTCTCGGATCTTGGTGTGTATTTTAATATTTTGTACTATTTTTCTATAACTATTGTAAGCATAATATTCTGGTCTTTGAACTCTCTACTAGAATTATTATTAGTAAAGTATTCCTATTCTTCCAAATTATTTTCTGTTCAGAGTCCGTTTATATCACAAGCCACAAACATTCCGTTCATAAAAATTTCCAGTGCAACGCTGAATATATCATTCCAGTTCAACCAGTTTCCTAACCTGAAAGTGGGAGATCCTTTAGATTGGGGAAGTAGGACATGTGTGTAATTCTTTTGGATTTTGGTAGACAATTGTTTTCCTTTCTGTTCATGGAAGTCTTATTGTAGAAGGAATCAATTTTTATTTGTCTTTTTATTCTAGCTATGCTTCAGACTAGATATTGTCATTGGTCTGTTACGTTAAGCATATTAAGATACTGTTGTACTCCTATTTAGGCATGTTCATGGTTTGGACTTGTTAATATCCAAACCATGTTAAATAAAAACCAATTAAATGGATTGGATTTGATAATGAAACCGGATTTCCCCCCATATCTGGATTGCCAAAAACCAGGTTTCGGATATGTTTTATTTGTAGCTTCCATGTTCCAACTGAATATTTGTGGCATCATATAAATCATTTTATGCAGTAGTATTTCAAGTTCTTTGCACATGTCATGAATGAGATTTCCAATTATTAATTGGCAATGTTTTGCCTATAGAATATATCCTGGTGTTTCTGAAGCATTAAAGTTTGCAAGCTCAAGGGTGTACATTGTCACCACAAAACAGGTAAACGTTTCTCTTTACCCTTGCAAGGGGACAATAATCTCACAATAGAGTTTTGCTTTTAGTATTAAGAAAAATAAGAGGGGATGAAGTAATTTGTTCATTATTTCAGAGCCGCTTTGCCGATGCTTTACTTCGAGAGCTTGCTGGAGTAACCATACCACCTGAAAGGATATACGGTCTCGGAACTGGGTTAGTATTTGATAACTTTAATCGTGGTCATGCATTGAAAGATTTATATTTCAATTCTATTGTTTTCTTTTAACAAGAATTTCTTTTTCATTTGACCTACAGTCCTAAGGTAGAAATTCTAAAGCAGCTTCAAAAGAGACCAGAGCATCAAGGGCTGACACTGCAGTAAGATACTGAGCTATTAGCAATAAATCAATGTCATTTTGGTTATGACTAATTATTTGAACTTGCAAAGATGGTCTTCAAGAAATTAATTCCAGTTATTTTAACCAGCTTTGTTGAGGATCGGCTAGCTACGTTAAAGAATGTGATCAAAGAGCCTGAGTTAGACAACTGGAATCTGTATCTAGGTAGTTCTCTTTTTCTGTTTATAATTTCTGCACCCTCCCTCATTTTTCGTCTCAGTTCCCATTTCGTGTATTATCACTTTCTTTTTCTTTTCTTTTTTATGATGTTGAGTTTACTTTATTAATGGTGACTGTTTGGATCAGGGAATTGGGGTTACAACACTGCACAAGAGAAAGAGGAAGCTGCAGCTATTGCCAGAATTCGCGTTCTTCAACTCTCAGACTTCAGCAAGAAGTTGAAATAGGGATCTTTGTTGAATTTTCATTTGTCAATCAATTAACGAACACTATATTTTCTTCCAAATTCTTTATAAACAATAAAAAATTATAATGTACACACTCTTTCTACTTAAAAACTTCCTCTTTTTGTTTTCTGATGTAATTTCCAACTCTATTAAATGAAGTGACCTTGTATTATCCTCAAGTTTGGCCTTGTTACATGCAGTGTACTGTTTTAGGCAGATACAAAATGCTTGCTGTTGTATTGAAATAACTTGGATGTAATTTAATGTGAATATCCTCACTTGATTCATATCAAATGACTTGTTCAGATACTTAAATTTTGTGTTGTCAAAAAAAAAAAACTCACAATCTTTAAAAGAAGCTTATATCAAATGTTTGAATTAGTAAGACACATTTTTATGAAAAGTTATTTAAGTTGTAATGTGCAAACTTGAACATTCTATGTTATTGCATCTTGACTCAGACATGCGCTCGCACACACGCAAACATACAATAACAATGTCTAAGAGTGGAAAATTTATATTTAAAAAAAGCAATTGAATATAAAAAAAAATACTATTTGGCTAAACTTATAGTGTCACATTTATTGATTCATAAATAAAAAACTTATAGTATCACATTTATTGATTGATAAAAAAAAAAAAAGACTAAAAGAAGGAAATATTGCTACATAGACATGTGTCGTGATTTCATTGATAGTTGGCACCAATGATTTCAATCTTGTTTGAATGGAGGGTAATTATATACCATGCAATGCATTCTTATATATATCATATTTGGATTGGTTTTGGTAACATTGAAAGGAAGAGAAGTAAATGGGCCATCTCTATGCATTGGATTTTGATGGAGTTCTCTGTGATACCTGTGAAGAGACAGCAATCTCTGCTCTCAAGGTTCTTGCTCTCTCACCTTATCTATTCTACCATTTGGTTATCAATAAAATGGAAGAAAACAACTGAAAATAGTACACAGTTTCTGATGATCTTTGGAACTTTCTGGTTTTGTTGTTTGATGATTTGTGTAGGCTGCCAAGTTGAGATGGCCTGCCCTGTTTGAAAGTGTGGATTCTGCCACAGAAGATTGGATTGTTAAACAGATGATTAGAGTAAATAATTTAGTTTAAGTTCAAGTTTGATTACTTCTCTTTCTAGTTCTAGATAAGAGATGCACCGTTTCTTCATGTCAGGTGAGACCAGTGGTGGAAACTGGATACGAAACTCTTTTACTTGTGAGGTTGTTGCTCGAGACAAGAGTTCCTTCCATCAGAAAATCTTCAGTGAGTAAAAAACTATAAACTCTGGCTTAAACTTTTTCTTTTGGTGCAAGTCTTTTCCTTTGATTCCATTTTTATCATGGATTAACAAGTGGAAGTCATAACATTATCATCAGATTCTAAGGAACTTTGTGATCTATGATGATGCCATTTCACTGATGTCATAGTTCTTCTGAAAGGTGGCAGAGGGCCTCACAGTTGAGGGCATATTAGAGAGCTGGTTCGAATTGAAGCCTATTGTCATGGAAGAGTGGAACGAGAATAAGGATGATCTGATAGATTTATTCGGAAAGGTTAGAGATGATTGGTTGGAGAAGGATTTCACTGGTTGGATTCAAGCCAACAGGTAGTCCGATCAAATGTTATAAAATGTGTTCTTAGTATGAATAAACGTCTTCTCGGTATGAATTTTAAAGTTCAACATTTTAATTTGTGGATTATTTGCCGCTAGATTCTATCCTGGTGTTACTGATGCATTAAGATTTGCAAGCTCAAGAGTCTACATTGTCACCACAAAACAGGTCTGATTTCTCTCTCTGCTCATAGCATGAAAACAGAAATCCTAATCCTAAGAGTACATATATTGAAATACCCTTATGCCTTTGCATCTTCTACGGTTTCAGAGCCGCTTCGCCGACGCTTTACTTAGAGAACTTGCTGGAATAACTATACCACCAGAAAGAATATATGGTCTTGGAACTGGGTTAGTATTGCTATTTGATATATTTACAAATTCAGGTGATTCGGTGCATTATACTAATACTTCATTTCATAGATACATTTGTTTCTCAAATTATCTTATATTTTCTCTCCAGTCCTAAGGTAGAAGTGCTGAAGAAGCTTCAAAAACTGCCAGAACACCAAGGACTGACACTACAGTTAAGATTTGTGTGCATTCAGAGGATAATTTTATTGACATAAAATTTTAAAATGATTTAGGAGAAATTAACAGTAGTTAATTTTAAACAGCTTTGTGGAAGATAGGCTTGCAACACTTAAAAATGTTATCAAAGAGCCAGAGTTGGATAACTGGAATTTGTATCTAGGTAAAATTCTCTCTCACTGGCTCATTATAATTTCTGCACTCTCAATTTTCATCTCTTTATGTTTCTATGTTTTGCATTATTTTTTCCTTTTGGAGTAGCATAATAATTGTTGCATAATAATTGTTAAACTTGGGTGTTTGGATTAGTGGATTGGGGGTTTAACACTCAGAAAGAGAGGGATGAAGCAGCAGCCAACCCAAGGGTTCAGCTTCTTGAGCTCGCTGATTTCAGCAGCAAGCTAAAATAATAGTTTCAGATGAATCGTCAATGGTTTAGTCAAATATTTCCTTCCGTCTTATTTATGTATAAACAATAACCACTTCCTTGTGAATTTCTATTATTACAACTGCAACTGTTATGAGATTCAAAAACTCTTTTTACTTTTATTGTTTAGATTTAGTTAAAAGCGAAGAAAGGGATGAAGAGTTGTATATCATATCAGGACTATAAAAATAACAATACTGGGAGCAAAAAACCATCTAAACAAGTGATACAATTGCGGTATCTCAACTTCTAGAGGATTTTATCTGTACCGTTTAACTACAATTCTGTTTTCAAATTCCCATCAGCTTCCTCTGGACCTGCATTATCCGCTTCGCTCTTCTCACTATGTTGCTTCTGAATGAGTTCGTCTAGGGGTAGATCTCCAGGTCTTCTAAAAAATTGCTCCCCCATTTTAATCTCATATGCTTCTGATTGATCCAAGACAAATTCCTTCAACTGTTTACATGATAGAGTATGAGAAACTATCGACACCAAGTCAAATGCCATAATGTCTTATCAGCAATCATATCTAAAGATAGACCATTCTTAGATCTTTATGTTCGTAAGAACAAAAAAACGTAAAAAGGGAAGCCATACCTCATCTAAGTCTTTGATACTGTCCATGTTGAACATGATTGTACTCAGATCAACACCTGTAAACCTTATTCCAACAGCTCCTGTTCTCAAAACATGTGTCCATTTCATGGCAAGTTCAGCTACCATGTCCTAAAATTAAACATGAAAAATTCAAAAGTTCAAACCAGAAACCTCTTATACTGCTCTTAGTCTTTCAACGATAATGCATTTCTTATTTAACGAGATTGACATAAATTGCACCCAATAATGAAAAGAGCATCCTAGAATTTTCCTTTGACATCACCATGTAAATCAAAATCAACAAAGTAAAAACTATGTAGAAAAGTTGCATTTATCCCCTTTAAGCAATACAGGTAAAAATCACAACTTTAACTCAAACCCATCATGCATAACAGATAAAAATCACAACTTTAACTCAAACCCATCATGTATACCAGGTAAAAATCACTAGTTTAACTCAAATTCAAGTTTATATTAAAAAACAAATAGAGATTTTTCTCATCAAAATCCAGCAAAACTAGTAACAATAATCAAAATTTCAATACCAAATTAGAAAGAAACAAAAAAAGCGTATGAGGAGAATGTGGTTACCGGAGTCCGGCGAACACCTAATCGGAGCTTGACGAATCCGATGACGGGTCCGACGTGGCGTTTCTTCATCTCCTCTTGGATCTGCTTAGTATCCATCTTGGTTATATCGGAGGGAGCGAAAGAAGGAGCGGGTTTCTTGCCCCATTGTTTCCAATCATCATCTTCCTCATCGTCGAACACGTCGTCTAAGTCGTCGGTGATGTGGACCTTGCGTTTGCCGGCGAGGGCAAAATGGGAATTTAGTGAGATAAGTAGAAGAAAAAAGAGAAAGAGAGTGGTGAGGTTCATGATGAAATGCAGTGTGCAAAGAAGAATGAATGAATCCAAGAGAAGAAAGAGAGAAACAAGTGTTGATAATGTGTTCACTTCATGCGATTATGGCTTTGGTGGTGTGTCTTTGCAAGAACTATGTTAATTGAATTTGCAATAATTATTTATGTCATGGTTTGTTTAGGAAAATTTGGAACAAAAGACCCGTGCGGATTTAGTTGTAATTGGTAAATAATTTATTTGTGTGTAAATATAAGTATGAAAAGATAAATATGATAAATGTAATTGTGTAATGAACCTTAATTATATAAAATAAATATAAATTTAAAATTATAAAAAAGGAAAAATAAAAAGAAATAAAATGAAATTATATTAATATGATCTTCATAAATTTCATGATTTCGTATCTTTTAAAAAAACCAAAGATCTCTCATGTACCAATAAGTATGACTATACTTTAGAAAAAAATGAAAAGAACAAATGATTTGCAATATATAAGTACAAAATATAGTAGTTAAATTGAGTAAGAACAAATTTTAATATACAAATTGTGAATTAAATCCTATATGACCTATGATTCAATACCTAACTATGCCAAAAAGAATGGCTCAAAAATCCTAAGGGGAAGTCCTAAAAGAAATTATACAAAATTGGGTATCAACTAAAATCAATTAAAAAGACTATTTACAAGAATAATATGCAAAAAATATTAAAAGAAAAATAAAATGGGATTTTATTTATTTACATTTTTCTAGACATGATTATGAATATGTGAAAAAAACAAGAAGTGAAAAATATTAATTTTTGGATTTTATATGAATTTTTTTAATATGCAAGAAATATAAAAGAAATTAAAATAAAATGAAATAAAGGGGAGGGGGTGTCATGAGTAACTGCGCCCAGCTATAATCCCTGATGGGCTGAGAACCTGGGGTGCAAATAGAAGCTGAGCCTAGGCCCACACGTTCAGAAAATCAATATGAAAAATCAATCAGAAAATAAATATGAACACGGTGCAAATAGCATGCTCTTCACGTTCAGAATTGGACTTGGGCCGCGGGTGGGGTGTGAGTAGCGAGATCTGCTGAAGCCCAGGATTCACAACTAATTCAAACGGTGCGTTTTGGTTCTGGAATTTCCCTCCCCTTTCAGAATTAAATCGTGACCGCTAGATTAGATGAAGAAGTCAATTAAACCAGGATGATCCAACGGTGGAGGGATCGTCTTCTCCAACTCAACCTAGGGTTTCAGAAAACCCTCCCTCCATGCAGGGATCTTCACCTTACTCGTTCTCCTTCGTGTGACCATGAAATCAAATAATTCCAAAGCCAAAATTATTCTACTCACTCCCAGGAACACAGCCATGCTCATAACTTTCTCTGAAATGCCTTGTATCGTCCAAACAGAATGCGTGAAGATTAGGGTTCAACCATAATTCTCTGTGATCAACCTTAATGCAACTTAATTCTAATGGTATAATCCTGTTCCTCATATTACCCTAACCATTCTAAACCATACCATGTCCATCAATACCCAACACACGACTCATTCTTGAAACTGAAAGAAACTAGTGTCTGCCATGGAACTTCATGAAACTTTCTCAAATTCTCAGAAAACAATCCTCTACCTTATCTTAACAAGTCTAACCCTAGAACTATGATGGAATGCATATAAATAAGGTGGTATGAGTAGAATCACCAACCTGTCAAGTTGTAATGGTGGATGTGGTTTCACTCCAATTCAATGCTTGCAACCTTCCATGATTGACCTTTAATGGAAGATAAGAATTCTGTATGCAAAAAGATTGATGAATAATGCTTGAATCTTGAGTTTGATATCAATTTGCCTTTCTTGCAAATTCTTCAACAAAGCTTCAAATCTCCATGGATCTTCCTCTAACTCAGTATGCAAGTATTCATAAGGATCAGAAGAATGTGTTTGTGGAGAAGAGAAGAATGAAAATGGAAGAGAATGGAAGTTTGTTATGGAATTGCAAATGGAAGAATTTCACTCTTTTGCACTCTAACCTCACCAATCACCAACAACCATCACCAAACCTTTTCTCATGGTGATCTACCCTTCTTATAGCAATCCCAAGAAGAGTCTAGATTCATCTAGAAACTTATGGAATCATCTAGAAAATTTTAGAACTTCTCTTGAAGTGATACATTGGATATCCCTTATCTCATGCCTTAAGCTTGTCAATTTGGCTTTAAAATCTCCCCTTGTGAGATATTGAAAGAGAATGAGTGAAAAAAACAAGCTAAACCTTGCCTTATGCCAAGTTTCTCAAATTGCCTTATTATGCAAGAATGAAAATTACAAAGCAACCTCCATTTTGAGACCTCAAATAAAAATTCTACTTGAACCATTGTTTTTAAAATAATGCTTGGAGTCAAAATGACATATTGGATGACCTATTTTGGATTTGTGGATCTCCCAAACCAAAATTCCATTTCAACTTTTTTAACTTATAAGCCATTTTTAGGTCATTTTTACCCAATCATGAAAATCCTTGCTACAAGCTCTTTCAATAACTAATGACCTCTTTTCTAGGCTTAAAATCCCATTTTGAACAACTTTGATGTTTTGAGTTTTTTCATTTGAGGCTTGGAAATAGGAGATATGGCCTTTGCTTAAAATGACCCATAATCACCAAATGACCAAAATACCCCTGTCTTGTTCAAACCATAAGTTGAGTTCTACAAATCCTATCAAGGACTTATAGTACTCTCTAGAAAGCTAAGAAGATGCCCTTCAACATTCATGTTTACCAAGAGATCATAGGAATCATCCTACTAGGGAAAAAGTTGTCTGCAAGTTGGGTGACTTTCAAGGACCCAGATTCACACATCTCAGCTTACCTGTAATTTGTCAAAACCATAACTTGAGCTCTGCACATCCTATCAAGGACTTCTACCACTCAAATTAAAGCTAAGAACAAGCTCTACAACATTAATGTTATGGTGAAGATGAGATATCAATCACATCTTGAGCTAAAACTGCCTGGAAGATGGGGATCAAACTAGGGTTTTTTCACTGTCAATCCTTAGAAACCCTAGCTTAAAACTTCTCAAACTCCTTAATCATGATGAGTTGGTCTAGGAATCATCTTCATAACATCTCCATACATCATCCCATGACCTCATGGCCCTTGGATTGGGTTTCAACCTTCTCCAAATCTTCAGCTGATCTAGGGTTGACCCAGTCAAAACCCTAATTCTACCCTTCATGGTTGAATCTTCTGAATTCTTGCACAATGACTTCTCTGGGCTTCATGATGGCTTTCAAGACATCTCATAGGCTTTCTCAAAGCTTCAAGTTCATTCTCACAGTCTCAGAATCATCTGAGGAGCTCCCACAACTCTCAAGCTATGAAGCACACAACCTTGGTTTCAACCAATTCTTCTGAGAATCTCCTGAACTTTCTGATGAAGGTATCAACTTTCAAACACTTGATAGGTGAATAATTGTTGGTCAAATTTTGGGGTGCAACAGCTGCCCCTATTCAAACGGCTTGAACCTGACTGGGTGAGAAGCAAACGGCTCTCAACCAATCAAGGTGCGAGACGATTGAATACCGGTAAACCCGAAAATTTGCCAACTGCACGAGCACATGATACTCTGCGGAGAACAAACCTTCGAACACTGCAACACTAGCTGCTCAACAACTAGGGAAATATCGATCTGACGTCGCCGTCAGTTATCCGTGTTAACTTCTTCTGACATCATCTTCAGGCAACCAAACACCCAACATCGCCGCTGGAAGACTAAACCACCTGACATCACCGTCAGAAGCAGACAAAATTCTGAGGAACACCCAACATCGCCGCGGGGAGGCCAAACCACCTGACATCACCGTCAGGAACAACCATAACTCGGGGAAACAAACATCCAACATCGCCGCCGGAAAACTAAATCTGACATCGCCGTCGATCACCCAAAACACCCCGCCTCGCCGCTGGAGAACTAAATCTGACAAAATACCCCGCATCGCCGCTGGAGAACTAAATCTGATAAAATACCCCGCATCGCCGCTGGAGAACTACATCTGACAAAATACCCCGCATCGCCGCTGGAGAACTAAAGGATCTGCATCACCTAACATCGCCGTCAGAAGACTGGATCAACTTGACATGCCCAGCATCACCGCTGGAAAATTGAATCTGACATCGCCGTCGGAAACAAACATCGCTCTGAGAGACACTCGACGTCGCCATCGTACAAACATCATCTCTGCTGGGGATTTAAAGAGTCTGACATTGCCGTCGAACATAAACCTAATCTGACCTCGCCGTCAAAACAAACATCCAACCTCGCCGTCGAACACATTCAACATCGCCGTCGAACCAATCATAATCTGACCTCGCCGTCAAACAAATATCCAACCTCGCCGTCGAACACAAACCTGATCTGACCTCGCCGTCACACAAACATTCAACCTCGCCGTCGAACACATCCAACATCGCCGTCGAACCAATCATAATCTGACCTCGCCGTCAAACAAATATCCAACCTCGTCGTCGAACACAAACCTGATCTGACCTAGGGTTCACCCCTGGTAAATGGAACAAAAGGTACACTTGCGTATTTGAAACCATTCCGCTAGGAATGAGAGACTTAACCGAGCACACTCTGATCTGGGGTTCACCCTCAGAACCATAACGAACATCGGGGTACTACTGCACACTGACCCCATTGTAGAACTTCAACATCAGAGCTATATGAAACCCTGGCCCCTGGCCACTTCCAGTTTCAGCTAGAAAAGATCTTCAAGTACTTCTGAAGATGGAATCCTTGGCCTTCAAGGATAGATGAAACCCTGGCCCCTGGCCACTCCAGATCCGCTGGAGAATCTTCAAGTTCTTCTGAAGATAGATGAAACCCTGGCCCCTGGCCACTCCAGATCCGCTGGAGAATCCTCAAGTTCTTCTGAAGATCGATGAAACCCTGGCCCCTGGCCACTCCAGATCCGCTGGAGAATCTTCAAGTTCTTCTGAAGATAGATGAAACCCTGG